TTTTATCTTAAAACTAGAGCACAATGTTTTTTGCATGGTTTATTAGAATTCTCACTTTATAATTTATTACAGGGTAACTTTTTTTATAAAAAACTGTATAGAAAATTGTTTAGTTAACATTGAAATAGATTGAAATTTTTGGGTTAAAACTTATGATTAAAATAAATTTGTGAAAGTTGGCTTGGGGTATGAATGCGATTAGATCTAGACAGCACTGCTGAAGAGGACCCCAGTGAAGGTAAAAATTTTAAGATCAAGCAGTCCCTCATTTTTGTCTCCATGTGGGTTATTATTGAGCCTAGACTATGGGTTGTTCTGTGTATTGAACAAAAAAATTTTTAATTGAAAAATTTATGTTATACTTTAAGGTTTTTTTTCACAATATTTTTGAACCAGTTTGCAGGTGGGGATCTTTCAGCTCATTTGGCAAATATTTCCGATTTTAGGGTCTTAAATTTCCATGGATTTTTTTTACTTTATAAAGAAATGCTTGTTCTGTACAGGAAACCCTCCTGATAGGGCGGGTTGGGTTTCCAAAACCGCCACCAAAAAAGAAAAGACAGCCCTCCTCTTTAATGACGGAGTTCCATTCTTAAGCCCAGTCAGTAAACGAAGTCGTCACATGAAGAGCATATTTAAAATGACAAGGGTTTGTGTCAAAAATCTTTGATTTTGTTTTAATTTTCCTTTGTACCATTTATAGTATTTGGAGCAGTGGCCCCCCGTTTTTTGTATTCCCGGCAACGTAAATTTCCCCAATCATAGGGGTTTTTTGTAAAAAACATGACGCTTTTCATAGGTTGACTCGCGAGTCTAGTTCGCCCGGGACCGTATCATGGCTTTTGAGCCTGGCGGCAGCCATCTGGCATTTTTTACCAGTGAGCGAAGGTCCCCCCGTGCCCAGCAAAATATTTCAAAATATTCCATTTATTTTAGTGCTTAAGTAAGGGGCCCCCCCGGTTAACGATTTTTTTTCACTCCAGAAGTACGTTCGGGGTGCCAGTACTGCCCGAATTTGTTCCCTAAGGAATATGTGAAGTAGATTGCCCCATTTCAGCCCCCCCCAAAATACAAGTAAAAAGGGCACTTACATAAATACACTTACATATTGGTCGCATTGGAGGTGAGTTATGCGGGGGTCCACTGTACTAAAAAAAGCTACCAGGCCCCAAAGAAAGCTCCTAGTGCCAACCCTGGGTAAAGAAGGTGAGAAACACGATTGAATTTAAGAAAACCTTTGAACAATATGGTACAAGTGGGGCCAAAAATGTCCAGGATGTACGTATAAGAAATACACAACCTTATGTTCCATAGTGGCCAAGAAAAAGAAAAATCAGGATGTGTTGTTCAAAGGGGGTAACTATGTGACAAAAATGAGTCCCCAGTTTTTGAAGAGGTTGAGGTTGGGGGTTTGGAAAAAAATGAGAAAAATTAGCAGGAGATACTCTTATGACTTCGATTATTTGTAAAAAGGCTGGGCAGTGCATGAAGATTTTTAAA